TCTACGCTCCATATCAAACGAAGCTCCCCCTTTGATCAGCGGTTTACTTACGATGCTCCGGACGATTCCGAAGGGACTTCGGACGCGCAAGTTCCGTGCTGTCGGTAGGTTAGACGAATCGAGCCTGCGTGGAATGAGAAGTATTGGCAACTCTTGACGAGCCTTCGAGAATGTAATAATCTACTGCAGCCTCCTGCACGAAGCGACTGTGTGCGGGCCCCGTGGTCTACAGGCTTAGAAGGGCTTGACTGCTGGTATAAGAATCTGTCATCTATTTTTCCCTGTGGTGCAACAAGGCTCATCATCAGTAGCGTTCGCACTTCATAAAAGGACAGCCTAAGGCGAAGCCGGCGGTAAGAAACTCTCCACATCTCGGCATGCGTTATTGCTACTGATCTAGTTGGACTCCGGTTGGATATGGAACAAAACTTCAAACCTTTTACTAACAACACGTTCAGATTATGTCTCCCGTGAGGTCGAGTTCTATGGTTTTGTGAACACTCATACGGACGAGACCTTTTTGTTGTGATATAAATTCTGATTTCTCGACGGGTCTGTGTCTAGACGATAAAAGTTATACGAGGCAGTTGGGGGCATGTTCTTCTGGTAATGCTCAAAATGGGTATCAACCAATCCACTTATGTGCAAAGTGAATTCCTTCGACGGTATTTGATCGGAAAATCGACAACTCTCCATTTACAATGTTTTTTTAGATGATTGCAGTTGCACAGAAAATCATTTCCCCCGCGGCGATCACAGTCTTGTAATTTTACTTTCATTCTCTCGGAGACATTGGCGCATCAATTTGACGTGATGCCCAGTTGACAAGAATACGGCTGGGTATCCTGTATAAGTAGTTGCAGTAGAATTTAATGCACGTATATCGCACGAGGGGAAATAATGCTCAATATCTTTGACGTAACAACTTCGGCAAACTTGTAGATGTTATTTAACTAGGGTTTCCTCTGACAGTTGCAGCAACGAAAACGAGAACCGTTGGAGTAATTCGCATTGGTGCGAGACACTTCGCGAAGACAACATCGCATGCGCCTGCACGGAATCGGTTTTTGTCTTATCGAACTAAATTAAGATCCAATGGACCATACTGCCATGAAGATGAAAAACATATTATTTGCCTCATCCACTCGAGCGTTCTTATCCCCCGTTCGTAATTTTCCATCCATGATTACTGTGCCTCTGTACCATCTTCCTGCTCCATCTTGCCGTGAGGCCGCGGGCGGCCGTGCCTAGTGATCCACGCTTTGGCGCGTCTGCCCCCGGGCCCTCCGGTCGGTGCCTGGTGGCCGCGCCGGGCCCGCCGCCCGCCCCCAGGTCTTGAGTGCAGCCCCGTGCCGTGCCCCCGCCCCTGCGCCTCTGCTGGTCCCGTATGCGCATGGTGTGGAATCATCTTATTTTGTGATTATCTATAACGCATTGTATTTGTTTTTAATTATTTGATTCTATTCCAATGTCTGCTGACCTGATGAAGCGATGTAATCTCGAAAGCTCGTCAATTAAACTTTAAACACCCTTATTCTATACCTTGACTTTGTTTTATATATATATATATACGCAACGCGCAAACACGCTAACACGCAGTGTCAATTATAACCATAGACAAACAATATAATTATTATATAGACAAACAAATTATAGTGTGCGGGAGCGTGTGCGCAACATGTTCTGCTTGCATCTATGACAAATACGACATACGCATGTAAATACGCATGTGACATATGCATGTACGAAGAATCTTCCTATATGACAAAATTAATAGTGTCATAGGAGAGCGTATATGCGTATGTTGTATTTGTCATAGACGCTAGCAGAACAGGCTGATTATGGGCACGTTAATGAAGGTCCGAATTGGCACGCGGTATTATATAATACGATTGATTCAATACAACCTGTATAACGATATCCACAATAACAACAACACAGCCCAATGCGACAGACATATCCTTACACTGTTAATCGTTTAATGGTTTAATTCATTTTAATCGTGTGACATCGTAAGTCGATGTGATCGGTTATATTTTGCTCCTTTGCAACGACTTTGCTTATAATGTCTCAAATGTAAGCTAAGAATATTAGTTCTGGTAATTTGATGATGTAACGGGTTGAATGGCTAATAGGCTTATGAAATCGCTGTCATTTCCGTGATAAGTTACTTAACTTGCCCTTTGGCTAGAGATGGGATCTTCGTCCACACTTCACAGACCGCCGCCTACGAAACTACAGGTCCCATGGCGACAGGTTTAGTGCCATTAACATTAGTGCCATGGGCATGATTAGTGCCAGAGAATGTGATTGGTGCAATTATGTTTAGTGCCATTGTCACAAGTTTAGTTCTATTAACGTTAGTGTCAGGAACACAAGATTAGTGTCCTGTTTAAGTTTAGTGCCAGGAACACAAGATTAGTGCCATAGCCTTTAGTGCTAGGGTCACATGATAATTAGTGCCATTAACGGTAGTTCTAGAGACACATGATTAGTACTATTACGTTTAATTAAAATTCCACAAAATTAGTGCCAGGAACATTAGTGCCAGGAAGACAAGGTCAGTGTCATATTTAAGTTATATCAGTGCCAGGGACACACGATTAGTGTCATTACCTTTAGTGTCAGGGCCACAGGTTCAGTGCCATTAACTTTAGTGCCACGTTTGACAGAAGATCAGTGCCACATTTAAGTTTAGAGTCAGGTACACACGATTAGTGTCATTACCTTTAGTGTCAGGGCTACAAGTTTAGTGCCATTAACTTTAGTGCCACATTTGACACAAGATTAATGTCACATTTAAGTTTAGTACAAGGAACACATAATGAGTTTTGTTAAGATTAGTGCCAAGGACACATACTGAGTTACATGATTATTAGTTCCAGGGACACATAATGAGTTACATGAAGATTAGTTCCAGAGACACATAATTTCATAACATTGCGACGTTTTGTCCTGCTTGCAGGCTATCACGCGCTCGTCTCTGTACATATTCCGCCTATACCATACTAGTGTATACCACACCACCATATAGTCTACACCATAGTCTATACAGGACTGTACCTTTGTAGCGCGCAGTTGTAGCAGGAAACTGCGACACCGATAAGAGCAAGGTCAGGGAGGGACATCCTATAAGTTATTTCCTGATCGGGTTGAGATCGATCGAGGCCAGCGCATGGTTGGGTATAGATGAGTTCTGATGTTTTCATCTATCCGCCTAATTCTCGCGTTATCTGGGAAAGCTCAGTTTTTCGCTGATCTGTCGCAAAACAGTCGCAGTAATAGCACGTAATCGTAAGATGCAACACGACACGGGAACGCGAACGCACGACCACCGAAAACACAAAACACACAACTTATTCAAAAAGAAGGATCACTCATCGCCTCTGAAATCCACCGAAAAGACATCCTAACACACGGAAGATATTTCGTTAAGATTCGTTGGCTTTCTCATCATATATCATATCTCTTTCACATCAAAACCGATATGTATGCTTGTTGTCACGGGTTTTGTGAGGGTGTGTTTGTTTATAGAGCGGTCATGAGCAGGAAACAACGCGACAGTGTTGTGATGTTTCAGTTAGCTTATAAATCTGTAGCGCGTTCGAATAAAAGCATTTATCTTCAATGTAAGTCAATTTACGTGTCAACACTCACTGCTGTAAGAACGTTACAGACGCGTAGAACATTCGTCTGCATTGTTCTGTTATGGATGCGTTGTTACCTCCGCCAGGGGCTTGGCGGAAGTTATGTTTTCACCGGCGTGCCATGAGTGTTTGTGTGTTTGTGTGTTACCATGCACGTTTCAGTTCACTTCCGCTAGGTGCGCTGGCTGTAGACTTACAAACACGCAACTACAGGCTAAGGGGCAACCACAGTCAAGGGGCAACCACTTAATTAATTAATTAATTAATAAAAAATTTTACATTGAGAGAATTCAGCTGCCTTAGCGAAGGTCTGTGCTCTAGTTATGTTCTGTTTTGTGCTGTTCTGGAACTCTGTTAGGGTATATCAATTAGTAGAAGTTTTGTAAAGAACTGTTTAAGTCAATTACAAACCTGCTTGTGATTTTAGTTGTTGTAATGAATGTGTTAATAACACCGTATTCTGGCAATTAACACTGCTAATTAACTAACCTGTCACATTGAAAGATTCTGCTCTCTGTCATATCGTACATTTTCTATTGATTTGCACATCGTTGATGTCACTATTCAGAAAACATTATTAAACTTATTATTATCATTGTATTTTATATCATTTATTTATTCATCATTATTAAACTACTTAATTAGCTTCCTTGAAGGATCACAAAGAGCATCATCACCGATCAAAGCTGACAAGAAAGGTTTCAAAGACGGCCAAGAAATTCTTCGGAAAACACGCCAAGCAAGTATTCAGTATTGACACCACCATGCATGATGTGGTTTAAAATAACATTACTACTAATCTTATAATCTCATGAACACAAGACGAACGCGGGTCCATCTCCCTGTTTCTCTTTACTGTAGGCATACTAGCACGTCTCACATATTTCGTAAAAATATACTTTATTATGCACATTCAAGAATAAATCCTCATAAAAAAGTTCAACGATAAAATAGCAATTATTATTATCGCAAGAAGCGTGCGTGTTTTGGGTATATAAGTATGGGTAAATATCATGATATAATAATTATGTTATATTGCTTCATCGTGATCGTATTATGTTGCACTAATTGTAGTGAGTACGATTAGTATTCGCACGATTGAGTGTAAAGTAAGTTAAGTAAAGTATAGCATACAGTCGGCCTACCATGTACCATAGCGCGAGTTGCCAGGACGAGATGCGCTAGAAACCAGAATTCTACATTAAATATACACATTAACGCTAGACGATATTCGGCATAATATGTCATATAGCAATAATATATTAGTTAGACTCTATACATACGTCTCTCTCTCTATAATATATAATATATATATATAATCGTTGCTATGGTAAACGCTTGATTCGTTGCTAGGCGACCAGAAAATGGTGATGGTGCAGGCGCAAGGAGTGGCGGAGACTGTACGTTAGCAGACCCGGCGGAAGCAGTGGACGAGTCGATGGTAACACGGATCTTTCGTCAAACAAATGGAAATTTCGTCGACGACGAAGCGAACGCTTGATTTGTCGATGCGGACATTGCGATGTGGAGTGCATTAAATGATATTTTTAAATTGTATTTTCGCGCTAACGAGGACACAAGAGTAACTTTTGTGGGGATATCTATTGGCGCGGACGTCCATTTTATATTGACAACCAATAGGGCTAATGTGGAAAAATATATAAAATAACCAACATGGACATGATAAAAGATCGTATAATTAGTACGAAAACACCACCATTCTACAATATTAAGTATGTATTCATGTATTCATGTGAGATGATCTCTCATGATCTCATGATCCTCTTAACGGGGACGAAGGCGGTCAATTTTAATTGTTGATTTGATTATTGAGTTGATGACGTAAGCGTGAGGTTCACACACGAGGCGCTGGGGTCACTGACGTGTCACTGACGTGTCACTCGTCACACGCAGGAGAACCCGGACCCGGAATCGGACAGGAATCCAACCTCTCCGACACGGCTCCAATACAGGGTGATCGACGGAAGCAAACGAGAGAGTCCCAGAGATCTGAAAGTCCGTCCACACACGTGGGTCGGCAGTGACGCCGAATTCACGCAGAAGAAGGAGGATTCAGTCTCCAATGCCCTGCCGAAACTAAGAAAGATCACCATTCCCCGACCGCTGTCCAGTTTTACTCCCACTGGTGCGACTAGTCCACTAGAGAGGGCAGCACCGGCCACTAAACGCTACACGTATAACTCGCCGTTCGTTTCGGTGAGCATGAGGGAATTATATAGCGCGCAAAAATATGATCAAAAAAATGAGCAAACTGATCATATGGTTGAGCGTTGACGACAAAGCGCAATATACATCATATGCTAATTATCATATTTATCGTATTATAATTGTAATTTGCATTTATATTGCATTGTTGCAAAGCCTATCGTCTATCAGGAAGAAAGACTTTCACAGGCACGTCGCCTGAGAAATATTCAACCTAGTCAGGAGATGAAACCTTTTTATAATTTTTCCCAATTTTATGTATCAACATCTTCATTTGCCGCAATCATGCATATGTTCACTACTCTGGTTAAACACATGATTGCCTCGCCCGTACGCACGTGTATTCTGACGTCATAGGTCACAGAGCAGACGAGTGGAGCAGCGAGAGCGTCAGCGGCAGCAGCGCCACCGCAGAAGCGCTCCACTCTAGGTGGTGAACAACAGTAGATGGCGTCCATAGGCAACAGGCCTGAATAAGCATCGAACAGATATCAATTAAAAATACTCACATCTGCCTGTCTGGTCTTTTCTCTCTTGGGTCTGTCATGTCTGTCTGTCGTGTCTGGTCTCTCTTCTCTCTGTCTGTCCGGTCTGTCTGCTCTGCTCTGTCTGTCTGTCTGTTCTGTCTCTCTCGCCCCTCTTTCTCTTTCTATCTCTCTCTCTCTCGCTCTCTCTCTTTCTCTCTCTCTTCTCTCTTTCTTCTCTTTTCTCTTCCAACTCTCTCTCTCTCTCTACTCTGTCTGTCTCTCTCCCTCTCTCCTCTTCTCGATCTCTCTTCCCCCCTCTCTCTCTCTGTCTGTCTCTCTCTCTCTATCTCCCTGTTTCTCTCTCGCCCCTCTGTCTCTCTATCTCTTTCTCTCTCTCTCTCTCTCGCTTTCTTTCTCTCTCTCTCTTCTTTCCCCCTCTCTCTCCTCTCTCTCTCTCTCTCTGTCTCTTCGCCCTCTCTCTCTCTCTCTCGGTCTCTCTTCCCCCTCTCTCTCTCTGTCTGTCTCTCTCTCTCTCTCCCTCTGCTCTCTATCTCTTTCCCTCTCTCTCTCTCGCTTTCTTTCTCTCTCTCTCTCTCTCTCTCTTTCTTTTCCTCTCCCCCCTCTCTCTCTCTCTCTTCCTCTTTCTCTCTCCCTCTTTCTCTCTCCGCCCTTCTCTTTCGCCCTCTATCTTTCCATTTCATTTCTCACTCCAGCTTATTTTTTCTCACCCTATCCTCCCCTCTCTTCTCTTTCTGTGTTTTTTTTCTAGCCCTCTGTCCTCCTATTCCTCGCTTTCTCTATCAGTATCTTTTCTGTCGTTCATATCCTTCTTTCCTCTCTTTCCTCTCTTGACCACCCTCTCCACCCTCTCTCGCCTATTCTTCGCGTTCTCTCCTTTCTCTTGCTTGCCCACCCTCTCCCCTCTCTCGCTCCCCCTATCCTCCTTCTCTCTTTCTCTCTTGCCACCTCTCGCGCCGCCTCGCGCCTACTTTCTTTCCTCCTCTTCTTCTCCTCGCTGGCTCTTTATATCTGCGCCCCTACCTCCTCTTTGTCTTCTCTCTTCTTGCCCACCCTCTCCGCCCTCTCTCGCCCTATCTCCTTCTCATCTCTTTCCTCTTGCCCACCCTCTTCCGACCCCTACATCGCCCTAATCTTCCTTTCCTCTCTGTTCTCTGCCTGGCTCTTTATATCTGCCCCTATCCTCCTCCCCTGTCATTCTTTCTTTCTCACCGCCCTCTCCGCCCTCTCTCGCCTACCTCTTCTCCTCTCTTTCTTTCTTGACCACCCTCTCCACCCTTCATCCTGCCCGCTATCCTTGGCCTTCTCCTCTCTTTCTCTCTTATGCCCACCCTCTCCGCCCGCTCGCGCCTATCTTTCTTTCCTCCTCTTTCTCGTTCGGCTGGCCTCTTTA